GTTCTCAGACGAATCGAGATATGGTTCTGGAGAATGCCTCACCAAGAGTTTTGACTCAACAGATTGCAGCCAACTGTGAAGCATGGTGGTTTCAGCGTGATGGTTTGGGAAGCTGTTTCGGTTGGTGGGAGATCGAGCTTAGTGGAGTGCGTTGGCAACATAAATTTTGCGAAATACGTCGAAATATTGGAGGAAGGACTCTTGCCACTTTATTCCTCGGGTTTCGTGGACAAGAACACAACGCTGTTACAGGAAGCTTGAGCACCGTGTCACACTGCTAGAAACACTCAAAAGTGGCAGGAAAAAATGGTATCCAGAAGTTGCCCTGGCCGAGCCAATTTCCTGACATGAACCCCATCGAAAACCTCTGGACCATACTCGACCGGCAAGTCAAGAAACAACAAAAAAAAACCAACTTCGAAGAGCGATCTACTCCAAGTTTTGAAGCAAGAGTGAGCGAAAATCCCACTATCTAAAATTGAAGAGATGATTCTCACGATGCCCCAAAGGATCAACGAACTCCACGAAGCGAAAGGAAGATCTACTAGATATTAATTAAATTATAAATACATCAATTCATGTGAATATGACTGAAAAGGTGGTGTCTATTTACTGTGTAGAAAGCTAACAGGGAGGGGCATGTGCTTTGAACATGATAGCCTAACAACGGAGCCGCTTGCAATGAAAATTGCATTGCAGGGCTATTGTCAAGAGGCATTATCGCTAAATAGAGCATGAACGGATGTGGTGATATGGACTGTAAGGATATGGCGAGGCTCCAAAACCGTTTTAATACTCAGCCCTCTGCATTTCTATTATATTATTGTGATATTTGTATTTATATGACGGGGTTGATTATTAGATTATAAAGGTGGATAGGGTTTCAAATATATAACCTATAATATAATTCGTAAAGTGGAGTAACTATCATTCCTACAATAGCCATGAACTGTAAATGGTAGGTCAGTTTATTTGGGACGTTTTGTGTTTAACTGTTATCCAAGCAATTGAATCGTTATCATTATTCAATTGCTTATATAACAGTTTTCACTTGCTATTCAGAAGTAACTGAAAAAAAAGGTTATGTCCAAAGCATTTTGGATACTATTTCTGCAGTAATCTTCCTCCAACTTTATACCTTTCTTAGTTGTCCTGTAACAAGTATAAAAGTTTGTTTTCTTATTATACTGAACGATTTTAATGTAGTCATAATTGATTATATTATATTATGTTCGTCACACATTCATATTGGTGAATAGATTTATTTTTAAAAATGTTTTGGCAATGATAATCTGCTCTCTTTTCCTTAGCCGTAACAGCATCCGGTTCTCTTTTGAGAGCGTTTTTTAAAACCCCGTCACTGGTACCACGCTAGTGCTCTCAGTATAATGTTTCTTAACCCCAGAAGAGGAAAATGTGACTTTTCATTATCACAGGTGCTTCCCATGTGGTGGGTGAGTGGTTGAGTATGGAAATTAGGTTTTAAAGAAGATAGGACGGTTTCCACAATTAACAAACACATATATTTGTGTGTGTGTGTTTGTTTTTGTATAGCGTTTCTAGAAATCCAACTGTTCAATCAGTCCCCACCCATGGTGACATTTTAGTATCAACAATAGTCGTCTCGTTGGCGCCACTACAAGTTCTTAAGAAACTCGAGAGCAAAAAACTGAAAAGCTTGACGTCACAACAGCAGCTTTATCTGGCCCTTCTCACATTAGTTTAGAAACCTGCAAGTTTGCGCAGTTTTCAAAGAAAACTCGTTACTCTGCTTAGATATACATTATGCCTTGATACAGGTCGATTAAAAATATATTATATTTACTCAAAGTTAAAATTATTTGTTAACTTTGGCTGAAGAAAATACTCATCGCGCTTAAGCAACATTGACAGTGCAATCTAGAATGTGAGAGACCACGTTGCACATGGGTTCGCCCGTGTTTCAGTTGATCGAAGGGTGATGGCGCTAGTTTCGCGAGTGGAAATCTCTTCAAACCTGTTACAATGATTGTCACAGTTGCGCGAAAGCCATCTTATGATTGGCCACCTGTTTTAGATTTATTTTAAGCTCCGCCTTTTCCTTCCAGTTTCCAATCGCGAGGTGTAAAGTATGCCCCGTTTTCTCTTTCTATTGGTTACCAAAGCCTTTTGATCTACTAATATATGGATAAAAGTAGCTCGGTCTACAGATAACGGCACAGATTTGTCTGAAAATATAACTGGGAAGGTGTGGTTGTGAATGTGATATCTCTTACGTTAAAATACTTTCTGTTTAACCAGAATTTAGTTGGACTACGTGATCGTTCTTTTCGTACCATGAAGGCTACAGCCGATCTGTCTTTTAACAACCGCCATGGATCTAAAACCACCGAAAATAAAGTTGGAAAATCAAGCAGAAGGGAGCGTGACGTAATCCAGGATGAAATGCAGCAACTTTTAACTAAACTTAAGGAACTAGTACCCAACATGCCAAGGAACAAGAGACTTTCCAAACTGGAGATCATTCAGCATGTAATTGATTACATTGTCGACCTGCAGATCGCTCTGGAGACTCACCCGGCAACTCGGCCAGCAAACTCCGGTAACAATCCTGGCCGCCAGCCGCTCGGTGTGCTCTCTCCTTCCAGTAACCCTTTGGTGAATCCTTGCGCTGCCCAGGAGGTAGGTTTCACATTCAACTGTAGCCAAACTTTAGTTTATTTATTTATAACCCTCATAAAAAGAACTTATTCCTCACATCATTTTATCTATAGAATTGTGACTCGTTCTAGGTAGCGATAGAAAAACGATAAGTTATAACAGTTCAAAATTTCTATATAAGTTTTGTCTTGGTGTAAATCAAAAGTGAAGAATTGTTAAGGTGAAAAAAGAAAAAAGACAAAGCGCTTGCCGAACATTATATAACATTAGTAGTAATATTATTTACGACCATTATCCTGTGTTTACAGTTTCGTATGGTTATGAACTTGTTGTTTTTTGTATTTTGAGCACAGTATTGTTCACTTTTTAAAGTTCATATCTAATATATATATATGTATATATATCGCATATAAGGACATGATAGGAAAGCATATATGTCCGCCCGCACTTAAAATGTGTTTAAACTGACAATCAGTAACTTCTCTTTGATGATAATATTGATGTTATCATCGACGGTCTAGACCAATATTATGATACAAACAATATTTATGGTAGCTCTAGGTGACGTACCGAGATCTGGTACTGAATAAGGTTAATAATGGATTGCGTAATTTTGTCGATGTTGACGAGCTAATGATTTAGATGAGTTTGAACAGCATGCCCTAATTGGTTATGATTGTTATTGTAACCAAGTAACTTAAGCAATGTTTACATATTTTAAAATTCGCTTTTTGTTTCTAGGCAACTCATACTGAGAAGACACCAAGCAACCTAAGCGACCTAGTCGTCGGGCAGACAAGGCCTGTGTCGTGTTAGACTTAGTGTAGTCTTTTTTTCATCAGGATTGGCTTTGGATCGCGAGAACGAAATCCACGTTTCTTTAATGAATATAATACTAGTCCAAGAGACATTTTACATTGTGAAGAATGAGCTGTGATGTTTTTTGAGAAAGGATTCGTCAATTTAAATACTTCTTATGATGTCACAATTCACAATCACTGGATACATTTAAGGCTATAGCGACTACAATACAAGTTACACGTCGTGTATAAACCTTGGAATCACCGGTGGCAGGAAAAGATGAAGGAGAAAAGTATTAAACATTTTTGCGAAAATCACCTTGTTTTATTGTACTTGTAATTTTCAGACTCAGGTTTTCATTTTTTATGCCTACTTAAAGTTAAGAATTTATTTCAGAAAATATTTTTGTGCTTCATAATACTTAAAATTCCCGTACTTTATTATACTTGTTCATTTTTTATTATTATTGGAAATACCCAAAGTTTAAGAATTGAACACCATTTCAAGGTAAGATTTGGTCACAAAAAAGTGAACTTTGTTAAGTGCAAAATGTGTAAAACTGTGATTTTATTAGTTTATCTTATGTACAAACTTATGTATATTAGTTTGTGTAAATTTTGTATGTTATGTTACAAAAAGCACTTGTGCACGAAATCTTCTGGTCTTTGTACAAAACGTCACGGCATATCGCCCAGGGGTTAAGTTGTACCTTATATTATTAAAGAGAATCTTTACTGTTTTAGCTTGTACAATGTTTGTGATAAAAAGAAGAAAAAAAGGAGCTGGCAGACTGCCAAGTGTTTATGTATATACATTTAGGTAGTTCAAAAAATGAGATTAAAACAAGCATCAAACTTAACCTGTGTTATCTGTCTGAGATCTGTGTGCAAGTTGTGTTCAGTCACCTCTCTTCTTGTCTGAAGTTAGTTTTCAGATCTTTATATTGTACTCACATATTTTGGTTTTAGATACACATATTGACGCTTTTATGTTTGCAAAATCTTAACGTTTCTTTTAACATTCACAGTTTAAATCTGACTTCAATCTAAAATGATCAAGAAATTTTAGAGATTGTGTTTTGCCAAACCATCGCCATTAAGTTTCTGTTTGAACCGAAAGTGTCGTGTAGATTCTATCTAGATCATGGCAGAGAATGGATTGAAATAAGTTTTTGTTTAAAAATATTTTTAAATCCTCATTGTGTTTATTATTTAAAATTATTTTATAGCAATAACTGTGATAACAATTACATAATTCAAATAGTAGGAAGCGGCATTTCCAATGACAATCTATGTATTATGTGTACAACCGCCGAAAGCACTACGTAAATGTGAGGGTTTTTTGTTTTAAGTCAGTTATTTACAGACTCGTTACTTCCACATTTTGAGACCTCATTGTTTTTGTCCTATTTGCCTGTCATACCAGTTGTGTATAGTACCAAACTATAACATTTTAAATTATCTCGTTAAAGTTCATACGAAACAAACTGTCTCAAAAGGAAACCGATAAACAGCGAAAGAAAATCTCTTTACAGAAAATAAGCTAATGTAGCTAAGAAGTGAAAATACCGAAATACTTAAGCTTAAATAATTATTTTACGTCGTAAGCGTCAGACAAACAGCTATAACGACAATATTTAAATAATATGCAGAAAGAATGCGAGCAGTTATTTCTCCGTTATTATTTTTTATTTAAAAAGTGGGGAAGAAAACCCTTGCTTGTCAGAAATTATTTATACTTCAAAGAGACTACAATTCATCAGCGTACAAGGGTATTTTGTTTTATTTAGAAGAATGGTTCGAAATTAAGAATATATTCAACTTGAGTTAACTTTTTACCTCAGGATACTAAAGAGAATGCACTATATCATTATTTCTATTAACTATGTCGAAAACGTGAGGGATATTAACATTAAAATCAAGTAAGATGTTCTCAAACATCATGTAATTATACGGAAAACATGAACTTTTGGATAACCGAGCGGATCCTTAAAAAAATTAACTTTAAAATGATCGGATTTTTTTTTATTGTAAAACAACATTGAAGAAGGAAGTTACTTATAAAAGCCCAATTTATCGATTTACTTTCAAAATTTATAGCATGTTCTGGAACAAGAAATCGTTTTGCTATTACATGCATGTACTGACGAACAAATAAAGGAAATAACCTAGAAACTTGCCGAATTTCTTAAACCACGTGTTTGTGATTTTTTCAAGAACGAACCAAAGTATTTATAATTGAATGCAAAGTTTATATTCAACTTGAAAAAAACCCCATGGTCACTTAGATGAGATATTACAAGAAATTGAAGGAAATAAATTGTCTGGTCATGTCTAGTGTATTTTTATCATCAAAACTACTCTCGAGTGTAAAGAACACAATTTCACAATAATTTTCCAAACTTTTGTGTGGGGATATTGAACTTTACGATTTTGTGTAAAGAACAAAACCGGTGATACGCATGGCCGCGCATGTCGATGAATCTAGGTGTGCATAAATATTTTCAATAGGCGACGCTTCTCGCAAGTCAGCGCATTTTATGTTCACGAACTTATTTTTCTTAATGCACTTCCTTTTCTACTTTAAATTATAAATCAAACATTTATAATTAATATACAAACTTCCAAAAAATTTTAAACAATAATTATTTCTTTTCATACTGTGTAAATATCAGTTCACGAACATTGTATTGTTATTTATTTTGTCGTACTAGTAATGCACACATCTTCATATACCAAAGAGTATTGTATTAATTTAAGTCTGTAAAAAATAAAGTTTGAAACTAGTTTTGGTTGACTATAAAGTTTTGTTTGTTGTTATGATATTGGGTTTGTGTAAAAAAAAGCATTATGTAAATTTTATCGTTTAAGAATTGCCTGATTAACTTTCATTTATAATATTTATAATTTGGAATTTGACTGTTTCGTAAATTTACGCAAAAGTACACGAGGGCTATCTGCGTTAGCGTCCCTAATTTTAAGCTGGTAGGCTAGAGGTTAGGAACTTGGTCAACAGCACGCATTGCCCACTCTTGGGCTATTCTAGTCGAATAGTGTATATATATATTAACATGAAGTTCCCCGGTAGGTTTACGGACTTAACAACGCAAAATTCTGGGTTCGATTCCCCCCGGTAGACACAGACTATAGGTGAATGTGGCTTTGCTTTAAAACAAACAAGCAAATCTGTCATGATTAGGTTATCAAAAAAGTCTTTTTCTTTCTTTAACTCTAACGCTTTAACCAAAATTTTCGGTAAACGAATGCACTGTAGTTAACAAGTTAATGTCTTAGAATGTGGTGTACCTCGACTGGATACAATGGTGCTGTTACATTTGTTTTAATAATCACTAACACTATCTAGTCGGATTCATTTCTAATATTAAACTATTTTAGTTTGCGGGAACTAGAATGTTCAAGTTTTCGCCTACGTGACATTGTCATTCAAGAAAACCAGGTGCGCTAATTACTTTCAAATGAATAATTACGTTAGGTCATCTAATTACGTTAAAGTATGCAATTTAGTTATACATGGTTTGAGTACAGTGTCTTTGACAGAATACACAGGTCTTATAAATCTTTTGATATCCATTGCATCTTTAATTATTCATTTAATTGGGTTTTTTTTTCTCCACAGAAAACAATTGTATGCTAGATTATGACTGGTTGGCAGAAAGGTGAATAAATAAAAGATGCATAAAATATACATAAATTGTTTGGAAATTAAACCTATCTCACAGAAATCGGGGGCATAATTTTAAGTATGCGTCTCTGCATATTTCTTTCTCTTACAGGAAGCAGTTTTTCTATACGTATTAATACAGTTTAATGGTTTACATAAGTCTATTGGGTTCTCGTATAGTAACCGTATAAGGCTGAGTCTGTATTGTTATGGTTGTTTCACAATACATCTTCAGGGTTTAGTTCGGAGTAATTATCATATAATAGCATCACAAAAATAACTAGAAACAGATGCCTTAATGGTTACCCTTGGCTCTTAAGTTGGTGTCTATCTAAGCTTCTTGTCACTCATCGTTGCTTTGAATCTTCCGAGTTTAACCGTTGTGTCCACATCAACAACAGATGTTGGGTCCTGTCAACGAAACTTGGGTGTGATGGGAACTCATTGGGTGAATATTGATATCATTCTCATCGAGCACAGCTGTCGTTTTGTCCACGTTCTCACCATTTGTAAGATCTTAGTGAAGGACGTCTATACCGGGTAAGGTCTGTCGTGACCTTTTTGTGCGAAAAAAAAGTCACCGATGTTTTTCTCCTAGATTCTTTACAACATATTAATGGGTCATTTTTGGGGGTTATGAATACCACACAAAAACTGGAGTCACCATAGGCACTTCACAGTAAGCTTGACAACACTGTACTACCCGCGTCACGTGAGAGCACGTTTCCTTGCCAGATGGTGGCAAAGGTGAAAGACGCGAATCTGGCCATGCGAGAAAGCGCTGAACTTCTGCACGTGTGAGACCGTTGGCCAGGTAAAAGAAAGGAGTAACTTTAGCCAGGCAGGTGTTCAAGGAGTGCTATCAAAGTAACTTACCGGACGGTTATCTAACTTACACCACCAGATGTCACCATTATATATAAATAACGGTTACGTGTTGTGGAATGTTTCTTATCTTTGTGTGTAATTCCTCTCGTTAGTTAGAATAAAAGCTATAAACTAAATTATAAAAAGATAATCAAATTAGTCTTCTAAACTAAGGTAACTCACCACTTTTTATAATACAAATTAACTTATGACATCAAATCCTTTTATTTCAGTGTCGTCAGTTTCTGATCTTCTGTTACTATTTATTGTAATACAATGAAAATTAATCATAGTCACAAAATAGCTAAGGTGACAAATGTCTTGGCGTCATCACTAAATTCATTTTATGTATTATTTCTTATACTGGCCAGAAAGTGTTCATGTAGTAATCATTCGGAAACAATGATATGTTAATTTACACTCTTCTTTTAAATTTTAAATAAGACGTTCCTATAATTATATAGTGATGTTATAACATCGTTAATTATAAAAAATTAATAGCCTCATCCAGAAAACTATATTAAATGCGTTGTCAGACAATGTTCTAATTATTTGAATATAAATAATAAACAGTAATTCACCAGGAAGCTATGTTTGTGAAATGGTACTTTAGTAGTTTTTTGTTGTTTTTTAATTTTGCTTACATTGTGCGAATCTCAGAAATAACACTTTTTCTTTAAAACAAAAATGCTTGTATAAAAATATAAAATATTTCATTAAAATACCGATAAAACAACCTTTGCCGTGTAAAGACTAATTACCAATAAAATACACTTTCTTTCACAAAACTAACCTTAACAGTTCTGTCTTAAATTTAGTTATTTGTGGAATTATCGGCAGTGAGTAGTATTTTGATAATATTGCTATTTTGTTATTTGAGATATATAATAAATTTAAATTTTATAGCATATTTTTATTATATTTATACATATCATTTACTTTTAACATAATAACTTTTGTTATAATATAAACGTTTCATTAATATCTACATTTTATAGTGTTTATCATTTAGGTTAAACAATTAATTAACAAAATGACTTTGTATTTCGCTTGAACAGATAGCCTTTCTTATAACTTTTTCGATGAAACAAGTTATTAAATAACAAACAGTAATTAAGAAAACACCAGGAAGCTACGTTTCAATATCATCAAAGTATATTTATAATAGTACTGTTTCAAACTTTGTCCGAAGTATGTTAGTCTTTCATTATAACGATTATTAGATTTCACAGTGTCTAAAAGGAATAATAGGAAAATTACTTCTTTTGTCATCGGCCAGGTGGTTAGGGCGCTCGACCTGCAATCTGCTCG